AAAATTATTAATATATTTTTAAACATCAAGTTTTAAAAAAAAATATATTTTAAATTATATTTTTTTCTATTAAAAATTATCTTTTTATTATAAAATTAAGTCATTTTAAATGGTTTAGAAGCCTATAGCGACACTACCTAAGTCGCTACAGCCAGTAGCGACTTCTACGTGACTAAATTTAAGCCGTTCTTAATTTTAAAAAAAAATTACACGTGGCACTGGTGTCGCTATGGCCCTGGTGTCGCTATGGGCCATAGCGACACTGTAGTAAACAACCCTAAAGGCGTAAATAATTCCAAAAGAGCACCATTTACGTAATTTGTTTTCAAAAGTACACTACAATGGTCAATCAGCCTCTTATTAGAGATCTCAAAACAAACTAGTTTGGCTACATTAAGTTTGTCTTGTCGTTGGTTTATCAAAAAAAAAAAATGATGAACTAGTTTGTTAAGTGAAAATGAATTGGAAATCATGACTTGTGTTTGTCTAAGGCAGTGTTGGCAAGTAAAAAAAATATTTGCATATTTATTTTGAATATTTCTTTCAAGATATTTATTTTTCAATATCTAAATGATCCACACAAATTAGTGTACCTACATAATAAAAGAAATATCAAATTACAACATATTTGATTTAATTTGTTATGTGAAAAAATTTAAATTTACTACATAATAAAATAAATATGTAATAATAAATAAATAAATAAATAAATAACTCTTCCAGCAAATTTGTTAAATAAAAATCTCAAATTACAAATAATAAAATAAATAAAATGCATAACATATATTATTGCATAATAAATTACAAATTACTTACATAATAAATCTTATGTGACTTATTTAAACTTAATATTAAAAATAAAAATTATAAGTAATATTTTGAATTTTTATAAATTGATAAAAAGTTGTTGAAAGTGGAAGTGATAGAAAATTTTAAATTTTCCAAATTTTTTAAGTATTATAAAATAGTATCATAATAAGATTTTTTAAATATGAAAGTGTGTAAAAGTAAGTGAAAAGATATTTAAAGAAAAAAAAAAGAGATTAGCAACATAATTATACAAATGTTAGAAATATAATGTTAATAGTGAATGTATAAAAAAAAGAGATTAGCAACATAATTTTAAAAAAATATTTTTATTTAAGATTATATTTTTCATTATAGATATACCTGAATGTATCTTAACATACATAAGTGTGTATGAGTTATCTCTCTAATTTTTATTTTCATTTCAAACTCTAAATTATAATAATAATAATAATAATAATAATAAATAAATAAATAAACTAATTTTTGTAACTCAAATTAAAAATAAATTGTACACATATTTAAAAATAGATTTGTTGACTTATATAAAATTAAGTTTATTAATCTACTTAACATTGTTAATATAAAATAAATTTTTAAATAAATTAATAAGTTAAACCAAAATTTTAAAAATATTAAGTTAGACCTAAAAAAAATATAATATATAATAAATCAGACTTAAACTTTAATTTTATAAAATAAAATAAACTTATATATTTAAGATATAAGACAATTTGATTTATTCTCATTCTTAATAAAGATGAATCTTTCTTTTATTAATAATAAGATTAACATCCAAAATATATGTAAATGTCTAAATTAAATTTAACATAATATTTAAATTTAAATTTTAATAAAATATAATAATATTTATTAATGATAATAAATTTATATGTAAGATAAAATGTGTCAAATCAATACAATACAAAATTATTAAAAATTAAGATATGAAAATATATATTAATATAAATAATTTTAAATTATATTTTATAAGTAAAATATTAAAATAATTAATAAAATGATTTTTTTATTTAATAATTCTTATTAAGTATTTTTTTTCTTAAGAATATTTTAATGTGTTTTATATTTCTTAAAAATATTACACCAGTTTTTAACCCATTTTGAAATGTTTTGATTTTATTAGTTAACATTGGTCACTAAATTAGTTAAATTACCTAAATTATCCATAATTTTTTTTAAAATGGTGTTATTTCATATATTATTCACAATTACCTTTTTTTTATCATATCAAATTTTTTTTATGTCTAATTTTTTAATTGTCCATGTGTTTCTTTATTTTTACTTTTAATTCCATTTTAATAATTATTAAATATTATTAGTTAAAGTAATCTTATTTCTAATTTAAATATTTATTATAAATATAAAATATAATTATATATTCAAATATATTTATTTAATTATCTACCATAAATTTAGTTATAACATAATTTATTATTAAACTATTTTATTTATATAAATTTAAACCGTATAAAAATATTTATTTTCAAAATTTTATATATAAAATATTAACTAAATAAAATTTTCAAAATAATATATATGAATCTAAGTCGGTCATAGAGTAATTGAGTTTGTTAGAAAACTTGGAGCAAGAGAGAGGTTTGAACGCCGATGATGATGACGAAGAGAACATTGGAAAGCTTGAGCAGGAAGCCATTAGAGAGAGGATGGTCTTATGGGTTTCGCTGTTTCAGTTCTTCTTCTCCTTCCTCTTCACGATTCAAGGGCACCATCCCCACTCTGCTTCAGCCCCGAGTACTGGTGTACGACGCCGTTTCCCGCGTTTGCCACCGAGGTATTCATTTTTCAAGATCATCACTGTGTTTGCACTTTCTTTTCAATTCATGGGGTTTAGGGTTTTGTGTGATCCAACTCGTGGGGTGTCTTCTTTAGCTTGTTTGCCGCCTTCGCTGGAATAAAAATGGCTCCAAGAATCTGGAAATCTGGGAAATTGAACATGGTTTTTTTTTCCTTTTACATATGTTTCGTTTAGAAGAAAAATAGAAAGTAGAAAAAAAAATAGAACAGAAAATGAAATTATTTTTAATTGTTTGGTATAATTGAAAGCCAAATTTCTTTTAACCAATTGAATAGAAAATGAGATTAATATATATATATATATATATAAAAGATGAGTTATAATAATACTTTTGTAACTTTTACTAAGTATTACACGATAACTCTATATTAAATATGAATTTTATAAATTCAATTGTTAGATTAAAAGTTCTTTACTCTCAAATCTTTTCTATATATGTATAATTTTATATTAATTTAAGATGATTTGGTAAAATTTAATCCCCTTTATATATATATATATAAAAGGAATGCACCCTTCAATAAATATACATATACAAGGATATATTTTTCTTTTCAATTACAATGTTTGTCTTTTTCCCTTTTGTTTCCAAATTGGAGAGAAAATCTTGGATAGCATGTAATAGGGATTGAAGATGTTACATGATGTTGTAGCAATTGCTGATGAGCGTTGTTTGTTCATCCTTCAAACATTTGTATTGACAGGAGTGAAATGGGTAATCAAAACAGACAAGCATGAAATGATAAAATTTTGTTGCGTGCAATCTGATACGGCTGAGCTGTATTTGAGAGCTTGTGGTCTTGAAAGAGAGGATGTTTTCAATCGCATGTTATTTGTTGAAGGGCTGAATTCATACTATCAGGGATCCACAGCTGCATTGCAAGTGCTGTCATACATGCCAATACCTTACTCTGTTTTAAGCTCTCTCCGAGTGATTCCAACTCCACTCAGGGATGTTGTGTATGATTGCGTAGCAAAACGAAGGTATGAATGGTTTGGCAAGTCCCAAGATATTTTGATTTTGCAAGAGAAAGAGCTGCTTGGCCGTTTTGTAGATAGGGAAGAACTCTTGAGTAAAGCTCATGATGTGTAGTTTTAGTTGCTACCTTAAGGTATCACCCACTTACAATCTGCTTTTTTTCTTTTCTTGCTGTATTCTACAGCCCAAGATTTTAACTTTCAAATGCTTTCAACAACCCAAAATGACTTACCCCTCCTTCAAATTAGAGATTTTTCAGTATATTTGGAATGTCATTCTTCAGAATTACATTGATATCAATATGGAGTGTAGACATGTCATTCCTCACACTTGAGGCTTTTTAGATAAATTTTTTTAAATGATGTTGCGTTGCAAATTGATTGGAGTTGTGTTATTTATGCACCATATTTTACACCCTTTGCTACTGAGAGAAAAAGAGAGAGAGAGATAGAGAGAATGGATTGGTGTATCCACCAAGAGGGAATAGTTGTAGAATCTGATATCTGAAATGAATCAATTTGTAAATAAATAAATATGTATATATATATATATATTAATTGCTGTAAAAGATGGGAGTCGCACTACATCTTTCAAAAATATGTTATTTCTTAAAAAAATTTTGGTCTATTAATTTTTAGCTTTGAGTAAATGATGTTCTTTTAAAAAAAATGATCACTATTGTAAAACATTTTAGTCTATTCAGGAAGCATTATTGACTTTAAGGCACTACTTAAAATCTTTTATTAGTCTATTCAGGAAGTGAAACTTGTCTTATTAAATTTATCTAAATAAAAATTATGAAATTTAAATTTATCTAAACAAAAATTATGAAATATAAATTTATCAAAAAAAATTATGAAATTTAAATTTAGAATATGAAATTTAAATAATATTTAAGTAAAAAAGAGCTATGTAGAAAATCAATTGTATGGAAAGTGGGTTTCACGTAGCTTGAAAAAAAATCTGATATTAATCATAAATATACATTATAATTTATATATATATATATATATATATATAATAAACATTTAACTTATACATTCTACAAACCAAAACAAAAGTACTAATTAATATAATGAATTAGAAAAAAGTTGATCCGTAGTGAATTATTTTTTTTATCGATCCTTGATCGGTTTTTAAATGACTTTTTTCAGCTCTTGGACCAATTTTTCGATAGGCCAATTTTGTGGTTTATCTGAACCGGTGACGTAACTGGTTCTCCAGTTTTTCAATTAAACCGGCTGACTCAGTCCGGTATTCAGAACACAGATCAAAATAATTAAATCCCTAAATATGTTAATAAATAAACTGCAATGTTAGGACCTCAAATAACGTTGAACTAAAATGAAGCATTTTTTTTGGCACTTACGAATTTAAATCTTCAAAAAGTTCTTTAGGCAAAATTTTAAAGATGGACACTTGAAATCATCATTTATTTAATTTAAAGACACAGCAAGTCCCGCAAACTTTCACATATTAAGGAACATCACTAAACAGCAATTTCTAGATGAAAACAACATCGGTAGATGTCGCAGTAATAACCATGGCAAAATTTGATCATAAAGCTAGAAGGGGAGAGACATTATTAAAGATAAACCAGTTTGTGCAGTCTTTTACTCCCTTGCATGCATGCATCTCATTCGTCACTATAAGCCGCATACTGAAGTCTAAGAGCTCTACTAACCGGGTCTCTTCTTTTGTCCATTTTATTTTAAGCATGCTATGAAAATGACATCATGTTCCCGTCATATTTGGAGACTGGCAGATATGGAGTTAGCAAGGCTGAGAATCTCAAATGGTGGTTTGTTCACCACCTCCTTTACTGTTAAGGGGCATGAATCTGTGATCCAGAAGTAAGTAAATGCAGTCTCTGGTTTCCCTGACCATGAAAGTCAAAAATGACTCGAGGTGAGAAAAGAAAGTGTATATTGTAAGCCATTAAATTAATATTAGATTGATGCATGGAATAAAAGCCTTTTTAACCAAATAAAGTACTCAAAATTCAAGGGTAATTACTAAAAGCAATACTAGATTTGTGCGGGGAGTTTCAGTTATAACACAATGGTATCATAATAGAGTGAGAACTGCTTCTCCCAATATGTTGAAACTCCTCCAAATAAAATAACTAATCAGACACTAGTGATAAGCCATTTAAATCCCTGTTCCAATCACAACTGGAACAAACAGTGAAGGTCCTAGCATGAGTTAGACCTTAGTAAAAACTACAAAGTTGAGTATAACAAGAAAACCATGGTGAAAATGTGGTCAATGATCTAAAAGAATGGTGATTGGACATCCCTTCCAGGTTTGGCATATTTTGTACCAAACAATAAAATAAAGGGTTCAACCCAGTGAGATCTTGAAGAAAAGAAGAACATGTCAAATAAAGCCCACTTTAGGGAAATATCCAGGAAATTCACATCAAATTAAAGTAAGAAAACAGATTAACATGTGGCACCTAGTTGATATCAGCACAAGTTCATCAATTTGAGTTATTAATTTATGAATATTTCAGATGAACCTATTTTCCTTTATAACAATGAACAGGCAATGAACATGGCTTAATGAACAAAATAAAGCAAGCAATACCCCCATTATCATGTCCAAAGCGTTCCCATGATTTATTTGGAAAAATGCCATGAGTTACGTAAGCACTAATCTTAGTTGCTCCATGAGCCGCCAAGACTTTCTGAAAGATGACAAATTAATGGGTTAACAAGATATAAACAGAAAGCACCTTTCCTACAATAAATAAAACAGCATAAGATTTCACCTTTTGTTCCATGTAAGAATCCACACATACAGATGTCTATACCTGGCATTCTCTCAGAGTTCCACCTGATTGAACCAAATCATCAACAATCACAATATGTCGACCCCTTGGGTCTCCTTCCTTAATACGAACTATCCGCTGATCTCCTTCCCGAACTTTTGCACAAACGATCTGCATATGCATTGTGTAAGTGCTAACAGATGGAACCATCATAGCAAGTTAGTCTATGTTCAGACTTCAAACTAGTAGCTGCTAGACCAGTCTCACTGTACCAGTGCAATATTTATAACTTTTTTTCTGAATTTACGAAACATTGTTAGATTAACTATATTCAATACCGTTGGAAAATGCTGTAGTTGCTTATTAAATCGTTTCCAAGCACCATCATCAGGAAAAGCAATTGATATCTGAGAAAGAAGAAAACCAGAGGTGTCATGGAATGAGAAAGTATAAAAGCAATAATTCTTATTCAACTTTTTCAATTAATATATATAAAATATTAGGCATTTTCACTTTTATAGTAACTTGCAAATTAAAAGATCAATGAGTCAATGACTTGCTATCAGTCTCACATTGAGTAGAATAGAAAATCAATGTGATACTAAGTTATGGATCTGCCCCATTTAACGGACTAGTCTTTAAGTTGGATTTTACTCGTGTTCAAGTCATAACATAATTTCCATAATCAAAATTCTCAAGCATATTCAAAAAAAAAAAAAAAAAACAGAATAGTACATAAAAACACAGACCCACAGAGAGAAGAAATACATATATATGAAATCCTCACGTTATCAGAATCAGGAAGATCCTGGAGCCTTCTTTTAAGCAATGGTATGCCACTCTCAAAGCATGGTAAAATGTTATCACCAAAGTAGAATCTCTCCTGAATTGCGACAAATAATCAAACAATTATAGTCAGGAATTTCATAACTGAGAAAGAAAGACAAGTAAATCATGCCATGGACCATCCAAGAAAACAATTGTAAAAAGCAATTCCACCAATATTAGACCTGCAAGGCATGAATGTCAAATGTCACCAGACTGGTAGGTCCTCCCCTAGATATAGGGATGTTTGACAAAAGTCTGGCTAAAGTAAAAGCTGTGGCAATATCTCCTTCATCCTCCATACGCTCCGAAGTGCCCGTTGGGAAAAATGGAAGGACAAGGGTAAACGAAGCAATGAACAGTTTTGGCAACGCATAAATAACAGGAATCTGCTCAAAAATCACTGCTGGAGAACTGAATGAGGCCAGAAAAGCCACATGCTGTCCACGTATTCCTTGAGCATTGGGAATGAAAATGTTGGGGAAGCCATCAGCAAACTTGCTGGAGTTTTCAGTTGCAGAGTACTTCAGTGAAAGAAGCCATACTATTCACTCAAAACGCAAACAAGCTAAGAAAAAAAAAAAAACACAACCAAACGAGGATTTAAGCTTTAATCTCAGGCATCAAGATTTCCAATGAGGCAGCATAAGAGCATAATTACAGTTCCAGACATTATAGAGTAAAAGACCCAACAGAAGGATGTTGACTTCGTTGGGTAAATGAGAAATTTTTTCATGTCCCGAAATCATTTTCCTAAGAATAATTGAAATTTGTTTGACTGATTATAAATGTTTTTAAAAATATTTATAATCATCATATTTGTACCACAAAAAAGCTTTTCTTCGGAACAATTTTGTGAGAAACATGTGTGAAAAACATCTGTGGCAAACAATGTTTCCTATAAATGTTAACTTTTAAATAATAAATCAACTATAGAAAACTAATTCCCAACTTTAGATTTATGCGATATATGAGTAATCACTAAGGTTATATCTTCCTTCAAATCCTGCTACGAACTTATTAAAAAAGTATTAAATGAAAATGCAATGCATTAATGTCTTGAAAATATAAAACGCGTCTAATACTTGCATGCAAAGTTCCTAAATTGCAACCACGGAGACACCAATTCCGACACAACAGAACAACTCAGCTACATAGGGAACTCGAAGTTGATGAAAAACAGAGACAAGGGAATATAACCGTAATGGGCATTTCCAAGTTCCTAAATTGCAACCACCAAGGCATCAATCACAACACAATAGAGCAATTCACCCAAACGGGGCACACCAAGTTGATTAAAAACAGAGGCAAATGACAACATTGGTGAAAACTGAAGCGAGACACAACAGGGGAATGCATGGTGTGGAAGGAAAAGGAACGAACCCCCAAGAGATGTTGCGAAGCTCGATGGCGTCGGAATCGGCGGCGATTTTCTCGGCGAGGGCCTTGGTCTCGGGGCAGAAGAAGAGGACGACTTTTTTGGCATTTTTGGTGGGGAAATTGGTGGTGGCAGCAGCGACGGCGGAGACAGAGACCAAGGGAGAAGAGGGGGCGGTGTCTTGGGTCATGTCGGAGACGCGCTCAATTGTCCAGCGACGGTGGCTTAAGCTTTCGAAGCCTTTGATCTCACACCTGAGATTGGAGAAAGAGGGTTTGTTAGAAGAGGGGCGAAGGTGGAAGAGAGAGTGAGAGGCTTTGAATTTGAGTGAGAGGGATTTGTTTGAAGGAAGCGAGAAAGACGGAGGGGGTGGCGTGGCCACCATTGTCGGCGGTCACTGCCCACTTCTTCACTCTAAGATCGCTTTCGCTTTTTTGGGGTAGTTGCAAAATTTTTTCCAGTTCTGTATTTTATTTTATTTTTTTCAGTTCGGTATTCAATTGTACTCAACATAAAGTCATAAACAACTTAATTTACATCATTTAATATGATAAATTATTAATACATTGAAATTAAATTATTTAATTATTTATTTTGGCATAAACAACAATTAGCTTTGGTATAATTTTTTTTAATACACTTATCATAGATTATGATTTATGGATGATGTAAATGGTGCAATTTTTTTAGTTATGATGTTAGGACAAATGTTAAAAGTAATGACTAATTTCGATTAAAGGAGTACTCATATTATTTATTCATGAATTAAGTTTAGTTAAAAATTAAAAAAAATGATAATACTAAATGATAGTGAATATTATTTCATTGTAATGCTCATTTAGTGATTGATCACCATTTTTGTTAGTATTATAATTTTAACTTAGAGAGAATGAGAGAGATTAATATAAACTTGTATATTTATATAATGATAGGGTATAATGAACATAATATTTATAGGGTTAATCACTTATATACTGTTAGTGTATTATACTGACAACCAATCATATCTTTTAATAGTGTCATGTCAGTTGCTTATTTAATGAAATAAAAATAAAATAAAATAATTTAAAAGATTTGATTGGTTGTCAGTGTAAAAAACTTTACACTAACAGTATATGGATGATTAACTCATATTTATATGCATCTAGATTTAGTTAAGATGTAACTAAATCATAATAGAAATTCAACAAAAAAATGTAACAAAAAAGAAAGAAAGATATAGTACAATAAGACTCATTGAAGGAGTTTGTGCCTACACAACTAAAGCTAAATAGATGAATATAATTATTTATTCTATTCTAACATCCCCCCATTAAGATGAAGGAGGTGAAGAACACATTTAGTTTGTTCCAAAGATACCAAAATTAAGTAGGAGATAAGACTTTAGTTAGGATATTTGCACATTGTTCATCAAATGGTATGTGTAGAACTTCAAGACTATTGTTGATAACTCTCTCTAAGGAAGAAAACATTCAACTCCATGTACTTTGTTCTTGAATGGAAAATAAGGTTGTGAGATAGTGCCACAATACTGTTATCACAATATATTGTAGGAGAGTCAGTGGTGACATGTAATTCTTGTATGTGTTTAATATATTGTTATCACAATATACTGTTGTCACAATATATTGGAAATGTTTAATGTATTGTATATTAGAATTAAAAAATAAAAAATAAAAAAAGTTGTAGGTGGAATGTTAATAAGGCAAGTAGTAGTGGAGAATGCACGATCCTAAATTTTGCAAGGTATAGAAGCATGACAAGGAATGTGAGGCCTAACTTCATTTATGCCCGTATTTTCTTTCTACCACCCCATTTTGGTGATATATATGTGGATAAATAAGTTTGTGTATGATTTCAAACTGCAAGAGCATATTAGAGGTCTAAACTTTCCCTCCCCCCACCCCAATTTTTTTTTTGCAGAGCTTTAATCTTGTAATTAAATTACAATTCAACCATGCTTTTAAAATGTAAAGAAACTTTGAGTGCTTCAAATTTGATTTTCAACAAAAACAAACAAGTATACTTGGAATATGCATCTACAAATGTAATGTGATAATTATGTCCTCCAAAAGATGTAAAAGGGGTTGGACCACAAAAATCATTGTATATTAATTCAAGATAAGCAAAATAAACAATTAAAGATGCATGTGAAGGTAAGTAGTTTGATTTACCCATACAATATAAAGAACATAACTCCAATTTATTTTTATTAAAATTGGAAACACTGTAATGTTGTAATACAAGGTGCAAAGTGTCTTTGTTTGGATGGCCTAACTTGCAATGCCATATAATAACAAAAGTAACAATATTTACAATAGGGAAACTATGTTGTTTGCTTTGTACATTTAGGGTCTAAAGATTGGTGAGCTTATAAATTCCATCTTGATGACCAAGTTTAGCTTGAAAAACTTTATTGGAACCATAACATTTCACAAGATAGATTTTAGGATGAAATTCAAATAAGACAATATTATCTTTGGCAAACTAACTTACACTAACAATATTTTTAGTGATAGGAACACATAACAAATTATAAAAAAAATAAATAAATAAAAAGTTGAAGCCTAAGATTAATGGTAGAAGGAAACTAAGTTGAACTTGAATTAGCTATGAGGGGGCCTTGTCCATTTCCAACAAGCAACTAATTTGGACCTTCATATGGAGTGGACTATTAGATGTTAAACTATTAAGGAGTCACATGATGTGAAACTCTTAAATTAGGATGCCAACCTGAGGAAACATCGTTATTGGTGTTGGAGATGAAGGCCTTTGGTGTCACTATAAAATTGTTGTTGAAGGAAGCATTGTTATTCACACCATAATTGTTTTTTAATTGATTGTTGAACCAAAACTATTCCCAAACTGCTAAAAATGGTTCAGCATGAGATTAGAATTATAACATCGACTAGGAACATTGATGTAAGGAACATAGTTAGGGTTGTATATGTGATAAAAAAAAATTGAAGCATTATGGTTGAACCTGTAATAGACTTGACATTGAATGTAGCCATGACCTCTTCAGCCATGTTCATAGTCGCGACCTTCTCCTCTTTAATTTCTCCCTTGTTGATGGGTAGGGTTTGCATGATATAGCCATGAATTATTCGTAACATTGGTCTAAGGTTGCTTTGATTCAAAGATGAAATCTTCTTTTAAGGTAGACTAAGAAAGATGACCAATGGTTATAATAGTTGTGTTCTTGCTATATCATTCCAATCGCATTTCTTGACCCAATAAGAGTGCTTCAAGCTCATCAAGATTGTAGGGCTTCAATCTACTAGTGACGAAATTGATTAATGAATCATACTCTTTCTAAAGGCCTTCAATAATAACATCTAATTGTTCTTGAACCAAAAACAAGATTTCTAATGAATGAAAGTTTGATAACAATAACTTTGATACACAGAACATATTTCGATATTGGCCAATCCTCCTTCTTCAAGTTTCACAATTTATTGTGAAGCATCTAAGAACGTGCACATGTGTGTGCATTGAAGTGAATGTGTAATTTGTCCTAGAGTTGCCAACAGTGAACACATCCAATGATGCAAAAGAGATTCAACGTTGCGATCAACAATTGAAGCCAATACAAGGAGAAAATCTTATTATAATGAATTGATATTTCCAGCATCGTGATCTTCTTCCATTAGGAATCCCAGTCAAATTTGTAGATTCACCAAGAAACGATATAATGGTGACCTTTGATGACTAGATCAATTTATTGTTTCCATAGGATAAAGTTGTTCTCTATCAACTTCTCACTGATTGTGAGAGAGAAGGTAGTAATTGTAGAAGAGGAAGGAATGTTGAGAGAGCAAGGGTGGGTAAAAATAGATTCTGTTGTGAAAGCCATGGTTATGGATCAACATGCTCTTGATACCATATTAGAATTCTAACTTAGAGAGATTGAAATAAACTTGTATAATTGCATTATGATAATAGAGTACAATGAGCCCATTATTTGAAGTTTAAAAACTTGACTCATATTGGCCTAACTAGGAACCAATATTGTGTTTGTAGTCGATTTGATTTTCGGATCGAGTATGCATGAAACTTGGTGATGATGTGAGCAAATCAGTATGAGTGAATTGAGCATCCATAATTCTTGCTACAATGCTCATTCAAAGCCTCTTCACTAGTCACATCCACAAAAAAAATTCAAAATTTGACATCAGTTAAACTTGAGTTGGACTCCCCTATTTTGTTATAGCATAGCTTACCATTAGGCCATGTCACTTTATTTTGTTAAGTATACAAATACATTTTATTTATCTACATATTATTTCTATTTTAATGTATATTAATATATATGTGCATTATTGTTACAATGTTATGTTGTTGAAAACCATGAGGTGTAAGATGATTTTCTTTTTTTAGATAGTTTCAATTATTAAGTATTTCGAGTAAAAAATATATTAAAAGTGATATTAATAGGAATATACTTAGTTACTTAATGATAACATTTTTTTGTGAATTGAAAGGATTAAAAATGATGGCATCCTAGCTTGCATGAACTTGAGATGATGAGCAAGGGAGAGGACGCCTACTCCAAGGATCAAGTCCTCCAAGGGTAATGCGTGATTTAGAGAAGGAATAAGGTGGAATGGATGAAAATGGAGAGTGTGGGTGAAGTGTTTGATGAAAGGTTTGAGAGGGCACTCTAGGATTTAGCTCACTTCAAGGTAGATGAAGGCCACTTCTAGGGTTTTGCTCTCAAGGTAGAGATAGGATGGGTGGTAGCCAGATTTAGCCAAGGGTGACTAAGGATGATATAAAGGCAAAAATGTTCTCTTTATATTCAATTTTCAAAGTATTTACATGATGCATAGCCTAGGGTATTTATAGGAGTGGGAGGCATCTAGGTTTGCATTTGGAGAGTGCATGGCCGAAATTCACAAGCCAAATGCACACCAAATGAAATCCAAATTAACCCTAGATGCAACTTGGTGGCCAAGGATGAAATCTTTAGGTTTAGCTAGGTTACATCTAGGTGCATGATAAGACCATGCAACCTTTGCCCTCCACTTGGACCTAAGCCTTTCTAACACCAAAAATAGGTCCAATAGCCACAAAAATATGTCTAGGTTTTTGTTCCCACCCTAATCAAATATCTTAGTCCAAAAATAAAATCCTATGATCTAAAGCACCCCATAATACAAGAGTAAAATGGAAAATACAAAAGAAAATAAATCATATGACTAAAATATCACAAAATACAAGGGTAAAATTGAAAATACAAGTAAAATAGATCCTATGTCTAAGATACCCCAAAATACAAGAGTAAAAGTGAAAAATCAAAGACAAGGGCAAAATAGGCATAAAAATAAATTATAGGCTACCAAAGCTTAGGAGAGTGATTAGTGTATTTTAATCTTGAGAAGCATGTCTTCTAGGGTTTTGACTTCCCTATCCTCTTCCAATCTCATAGCCATTGGCTTAGTGATGGGTTCCACATGAAGCTCCATGGATGGTCCTCCATCAAAAAATCCCAATAAAAATCAATTAAAAACCATAAGGTTCAATACAAAAATATACATTCGCTTGAATAGTTAAAGAAAAAGAAAAGGAAGAATACTACATCAAAAACTTTCAAGTTTTCATTAAGACACAAATCAAACTTAACTAATTTTCCTACTACAGGATTGGATCAAAAACTTTCAGGTTTTCATTAAGACACAAATCAAACTTAACTAATATTTGCCTACTATAGGATTGGTTTCACAAAGAATACAATAAGGCATTACATTCTAACTCGACCCGTGAGTACCTGTCCAAACCTACCCCGATCTAGATGGAAAAAATCCGTGTTGATCGGATTCGAGTTCGGCTTTGGACTTTCCCTGATTGGTAAAATTGGGGATGAGGACAGAGATGAGAATGTTAATACCCGCCCCCGCCCCTGTCTCGCTTAATAATATAATTAAAAAAATTATCCTTATATATATATAAATCAAAATTAGAAATATTTATATATAAAAATTTGTATTATTTTATTTTTCTTTTATTTTTTTAATTTTTTTTCATATTTATTAAAAACAAAAAAAAATTTCAGGAGCATAGGTGAGATGGGGTGGAGAAATTTGAACCCTATCAAAAACAGAAATGGATACCCATATTTTATCCCCAACAAATTTCAGGGTGAAAATGGTTTAAATTTGCATGGAGATAACATAAAATTCATCCCCACCTCAGCCTGATACCATGCCTAAATACAATGCCAAAGAAAATTACCACCAACCCATTTTTAATTGGGTGATTGCAATCAAGGAATCAAATTCGATCAGGAAAGTTCAAAATCCTCTCCCCAAACAACTGTAACCCAATGAAGATTGCCCATAATTTTGCATGCACAATAGACCAGCCAGAGCCCAATGTTCACTACAAACGTAAACAAAATCACCCCTTTATGATTACAAAACACACCATTGCCACCAGCCATCACAATTCAATTTATGCGTTCGAAGAGGAGAATGAACCCATCAAGTGATTAACCTATAAGCTTGGACCTGTCCGTACTTAATAGTGATGTTATATATTTAAAAAAATATATAATATATAATTATAGATAGTTATATTAAATTTTTTTTTCGAGACTAATATTTTTATAATAAAATAATTTTTTATTTTTTCATACAAAAAAAATAAAGTAATTTTAGACAAAATAAAATTTATGCCTAAATGAATGTAATCATCTAATACTTTAGTAATTACTAAAATAATATGCTTTGTTATTACACTGAACTTAAATAATTTAAATAGTATATTTTAATTTAAAATTATATACTAATTTATTTAATTCAACTAATCTATAATTTAATTATTTTATTAGTATTATATTGATTAAAAAAAATTTAGAATATGATATGAATTTTATTAAAAATTTTAATTATAAAATATATATAATATATTTTAAAAATAAATAATAAAAATAAAATTATGTAGATAAATCAGTAATTTATTAATTTAACCTATAATGCACTGATCTGATAAATTTAATAATGGATCCAATTTTTAAAAATTACTAATATTTATAAGTAATTGGATTCAATTCATATATAACTAATTTCTAACATAAACTCAATAAAAATTATAAAAAGAAAAAGAAAAAATATACAGTTAGCAGGTGTCCTTGAAGGAGCATGTGCCTACACAACTAAAACCAATACAATTATTTATTCTATTCTAATAGCCACTAAATACAAATTTTTTTGGTAGGATGACTGACCATTATGAACACACAAAAAAATCGAGAGAAAGAACAACAATAAAAAAAATGTAATGAGAATATAGAAAATTGAAATATTTAAAAAGAAAATCATATTTTTATAATAAAAAATTATAATTAAATAAATTAAATATAATAAATACTCTCTCCAGTTTACTATTATAAGAAGAAAAAAAGTACATATTTTTTAATCTAAAATATAAAAAAGTTTTACGTATTTTTATATTATTTAATAATTTGCTCTCTAAAATAATTTGTCTTTTATGCATGATGTTGTACTATTTTTTTATATATAATTTTAAAAAAATACTATGAAATTATTAAAATTTAATACAACCAATTAATTTTACTAATGTGTGTAATTAGTTTTTTTATAATAAAAAACAAGGGGTGTATTAAAATAAAAAATAGACATAAAAATAATATTATGTAAAATATTGTATGGATTATTACATGTATTATCACTCTTTATTAAACGACGAGCGTTTTATCTTTTATTTAAGGAACATCATGTCTCTTTTATGAATTTTGATAAAATTTAGTTAATGATAGAGTATAATTTATTTACCAATATTGATTAACATAAATGATAACGTTCGAATCTTGACCTTTATGTTAGGAGATGAATTAGTCTTTGACTATTATCGAATATATTTGTTTCATAAAAAAAAAAATCTCATCGTATACTAACATTATGAGTTATGTAATTTTAAGGCACTTTTTTTATTCAAAATTACATAACGCAGTAATTTTGAGGCACACTTGTGTATACTGTTTTACATAAAAGTCTTATGAGTAATGGTGGAACTTGGATAAAAAATTTGAGGTATCAAATTAACTTTTTTATATAAATTAAATTTTTTATTAATTAAAAAATAATAAAATTCCTCATTTTTTACTCAATTTTTTAGTTATATTATAATTAATAATATGATAATATACAAATATAATATTAATATCTTTTACTAAGTATTACACTGCTCAATAACTTTATATTAAATGTGAATTTTGTAAATCTAATCGTTAGATTGAAAGTTTTTTACTATTAGATCATATATACAAAATTTTATAAACTTAAATATGTTTTTAATCCCTCAAATTTAAGACAAATTTGTTATTGGTCTCTCAAATTTAAACCTGTTATTTTTAGTCCCTATAATTTTCAAAAATCTTGTTTTAGTCCTTTAGGTTATCAATAACATATTTGAAAATGATTAATTAAGACAGTTATGCAATATCAACCGGATTTAATGTTTTCATTAATAGGGACACCAATAGGTAGATTTTATACAATAATGTTTGATAAATTTCTTAACAAAATTTGAATATAAGGACTAAAATAAGATTTTTTGAAATTATATGGAATAAAGACAATAATTTTAAATTTGAGGGACCAAAAATAGATTTACCTTAAATTTGAGGGACTAAAAACATATTTAAGCTAATTTTATATTAATTTAAGATGATTTGATACTTCATTCTTATAAAATAAAATTGTCGTAATATATTCATTTCAAAATATACTAAAATATGAACACTTTGATTACCTTCAAGTTGTTCAATTTTAACAAAATTTGATATATACATATAAAATGATATGAACTTTTAATCTAACGGTTGGATTTACAAAATTCACGATTAATATAAAATTATTGAGCTGTGTAATACTTAGTAAAAGTTACATCGGTGTTATTATAACCATCCTCTCTCTCTATATATATATATATATGACTTAAATATGTTTTTAGTCCCTCAAATTTAAAAATAAATTTATTTTTTGTCTCTCAAATTTAAAATCGTTGTTTTTAGTCCCTGTAATTTTTAAAACTCTTATTTTAGTCTCTTATGTTACCAATAACATATTTAAAAGTGACTAATTAAGACAATTATGCAATATCAACTAGATTTAATGTGATATTTTCACTAACAGAAATACAAATAAATAGATTTTATGCAATAATATTTAATAAATTTCTTAATAAAATTTAAATATAAGAACTAAAATAAATTTTTTTAAAATTACAAAGACTAAAAACAACAATTTTAAATTTGAAAAACTAAAAATAAATTTACTCTAAATTTAAAGAATTATAAACATATTTAAACATATATATATATATATAATTTAAAAAGTTTGGAGTACCCCCGGTTATAACAAAGATCCGCCAGTGCCTATCAGTTTATTAAACATTGAAAGTCCAACAAATGATGAAAAATAATCATGTTTAATTCTATTTGCTAGACTAAGAAAATTGTCAGTGAAAGCAATTTAAATACATTATTAAAAATTATATAAATATTGAAGCTAAATTAAATTTAACTATTTCATCATAGAACTCGGCAACAAACTCTACCAAAATTTGCTGAAGCCAATTACCAAAACAACATACTTTGAGCCTATACCAGCTTTAAAACTCCTTTCCCCACCCAGGATGCACCGTAAAGAGAAGATTATATTTTGGATTAGGCTGTCAGTAAACGGTGGCTGCAACCTGCAAGTTTGCCACTATTTGGTTTATTTCTCTGTTCTCACTGAAAAATACAAAAAAAATTGAAAATAAATTAAATACCCGCAGAGCAATATAATTGTTTTAATACTGTAAAAAAAAAAAAATAATTGTTCTAAGTTTAGATCCATTTAACTCCCAGTAACTTTATATGTCCCTTTCCTTAGGAATAGGATACTGACTCGGTTAATATTTAATACACCAACATAAATCGGCACCTTTTCCGCTACATTTTCTTATGCTTTCTCCCTTATCTAGTAAAATAATGCACTCTTTCATGATTTCTTATACAACCCTAGCACAATCTTCAATATTTTGATTTTATTGATTTCTTAAGTGGGACTTGATTCTTATTTAGTTGCAGGAAGTAACATGACAAAATTTTACTACAAATTATTATTTTCTTAAAACATAAAATGCATAAAACTTTTGAGGACAAAATTAGTGATTTTTGGACCATACATTCAAACCACGTGAGTCATTGTTTACATTATCTTTTTAACCTATCCAGTGGGATTTTACAGGAAAAGGAAGACATGAATGAAAATCCTTAGGGGAATTAGGTGAGAAGAAAGAAGAAAAAGATAAATAATGCATGAAATTGTGAATGTGCCACACTGCCACGTATCTAAAAAAATCAAACAAACCAACAAAGAAGCAGAGACAATGACATTTGGTGAATTGAAGCATGAGCAACGAACGAGCAAAGGCCAGAGCCTTGTTATCTTGGTAGAGTCCCTTTTGAAGGCCAAAGCTTGGCCACAATTGAAGCAGGAGCAAAGCATTATCCCTTTGGGTTGAATTCCAATAATCCGTTAGCACTTTTTTCAGTGGCTCTGGTGCTACCATTGCGTTCCACCAATCGCCACTGCCACACAAATACACTTCACTACAGACAAATAAAACTCCCTCTTTTCTCTCACACGTATTACTACTTTTATAACATTCTATACTACCGCTACTTGCACTTTCCCACACTTCATTCAGTCAAGTGATCCACCACTTCAATCCCTTCAATCCCAATTCCGCAGGTAACAAATATTTCTCAACTGCACTCGATCTATCTACCCACTTGCGATTAAAAAGCATAAAAATCGAATCTTTTGGCTTTCGTGTCAACTGGGTTTGTGTTAGATTCTTCTTCTTCTCTCTCTCTTTTTGTATTGTTATGTGACCTTTTTAGTCGCAAACTTGAAGGGATTTTTAAGGAATCTGGCCTTTTTTTTTCTTCTAGTTTCTTTTTCATCGTATCATTTGAAAACTGACCAGAGATGAGCACAGATTCCTGAATGGGCACGCTTTAACTGTTATGGTTTAATTTTGTTATCTTCCGAAATTGTTGATGTTACATTTGTTAAGCCATACGGAATATGCTATTTTCCTTCAAGTATTCTGACTCTACGACATGTGATCTTTGATGAAGTTATGATTAAGACAGAGAATTGTAATTATGATTAAGGAGTAGCATGTTAGTTCCTTGCTACACTAGTTAACTTGAATTCTGTTATTAAAGAAATCTATGAGATTGAAGTGGCAGTTTCTGCGTTCCTTACTTAGTTAAAACACATCACATGTAGGATATGGTATTTTTATGGTGCTTTGTTTCTATAGTCATGAATGGCAATTATCATTATTATTATTTTCTTTTCTTTTCCCTCGTTGAACTGTTCTGGCTGGCAATTGGTTTAATTTGTTGGTTGTTTTGGTTATTCTTATTCAGTGACATTTGCAAGTTGTCTGCTTCACCATGCCACCAAAGCCTTTAGACTATGTGTCAATAAATGAAAACGTGAAGAAGAGTCAATATGCTGTCAGAGGTGAATTATACCTTCGTGCTTCCGAGCTTCAGAAAGAGGGAAAAAAGGTAGGTTATAATTTCTTTTCCAGGTTATATTTGGTTTGACTTGCACCCTTAGGTTGGGGGATTGAACCCGGTCATAAAATTCCTTTTATTGAATTCGTCTTTTATTTGGCATTCTAAAGAACAGGGTTTTCAGATAATTTGTGCTAGCCAGTAAGTAACATGAAACCTGCTATTGCAAATTGTTTTCGTAGATTCTCATATGGTTTTAGAGGGCCCCATAAGTATGCACCTTGTTGAACAAGTCATTGTTGTGTCCTAGACCTTTATCACATGGCTATCATGGATGGTAATGGTAGTATGTTACTTACTACATGTTTTCCTTTTGAAACTTAATAGTAAGCACTTCATAATATCCAGTTCTTGTTCCAAATGGCTTATATGCCTTGTTGGCAAAGTAGTTGTTCTGATTTGTTTTACATGTAAAGTATCTTCCTTAAGTAAATCAGTTCTTGTCAAAATTAGCTTCAGGATAATAAACATATTTATATTTGTGTTACTGTCAACTTGCATTTGCATAAAAATGTGAGCATCATTATCCATGATGTCTATGCAAATGTAATCTTGTTATGAACACGGTCAGCTTATCTTTCCTTCAAGCTGAATTGCTCAAATAAATTGTACTTATATTCATGTCATCATCTCTACATTTGTGCTCCTGCACTTAGTCACATATTTAGCTCCTCAAAAACAAATAATCATATAAAGTGAGAATGCCTCTACCATTGATTTGAATTAAACAACCTCATAATCTTAACCAACTTAAAATCAACAGTAAATGCACTCTTACCTTCTCACTTTACACATTTGCTCACTTTAGAGGACTCAAATCCCCTAATCATATTTATACTAACTCATTTTCTATTGTTGGCAGATTATATTTACTAATGTTGGCAACCCACATGCTTTGGGACAGAAACCGCTGAGCTTCCCTCGCCAGGTTTAGCATAACTATTACATTTCAACTTTTACTGGATCTCTCCTGTAATTTTTATAATGTTAACAGCTAAACATACTCCTTAATCCTTATATAATTAAATAGAGTTAAACTATTTTATTTGATGATTATGCAATCATACAGCAATTTCGCTGTTGCAGGTTGTTGCTTTGTGCCAAGCTCCATTCCTACTAGATGATCCTAATGTTGGTTTGCTATTCCCTGCTGATGCAATTGCAAAAGCTAAACACTATATCTCATTGACCTCGGGTGGTTTAGGTATTCATATGTCAACTATCTTCTTTGTTTTATAATGTGGTAGAATTTATATATTTTGATCTGCTTTCAAAGTATTTTTCTGCGCCCCTATCTTCTACCTTATCTTTGTCTCTTGATGTGTGTTGCTAAAATAAATTAGCACTGCTAGTAAGTCTAATAATTTAAGTAATATGTGGATTCTGGCAACAGTAAGTTGCATTATTTGATAAAATCTATATATTCTTTTTTAGTTGTATATTTTCCATGATAAAAATTAATTAGATATAATTTATGGCTGCTTAGTGTGGGAACCTTGGAATGAGGTAAGGTTAGCCTTGTAACCAGCATGCACGTTCTTATAGTGGAAAATCTCTTTGCTTTCAAGTATGAGGTTGCGTACATATGGTCCTCCCAAAACCTCACAGTCATTGAGCCTGGAATCCTTTTATTCTTATTCAAATCCTATAAAACATGGAAAATACTAAAACAACCTGTCTGTTTTCAAGTATGAGTTTGCATTTCGGGCTTGAAGCCTGGACAAATGCACATGCCCACTCTACCTTGTGCTGAAACTCACATTTTATAGAAGAATGGAGTGGCAGGGATTAAACTCTTGACAACTCAATTATAGAGATTCTGATACCTTGTGATGAATCAACTATCCCAAAATCTTAAACTGTTGGGTGAAGAATCATGATTTTATATTAACTGTCTAGTTGAGCAAGATTTTATAAATTATTAGTGGTCTTCCAATTTCAATTTACTACATGGAAATACGCCCTGGAATTGAAGACTTAATTCTGATATAACAACAGCACAAACAAAAGAAAAGCTCTTCTATTCTATTTCTTCTGAAGGACCTTTAGTTTTTGGGGTTTCTTTTACTTCAATGTCTAAACTATATTAATTGCTTTGCACTGAGAACTTGGAAAGTTTTTAGGCCTAGCAGCATTCTTCTTATCTTGCAAATACTTCTTGCCAAAACATTTAAAATTAAATCTTACTATTGTACCATTGGGTGTTTTACCAATTGTTCTACTTATAATTGATACAGGAGTTGTGACTTTTCTGTGATATGAATGTCCACTAATGAACTGCAACTAATGATAATGTAGGGGCTTATAGTGACTCCCGAGGCCTACCAGGAGTGAGAAAGGAAGTGGCAGAGTTCATACTCAGGCGTGATGGTTATCCAAGGTATTTTTACACTCCATATAGTCTCATTCTGTTTTCTACTTTGTCTAGTAAAATCCTTTTTTAAAGAAGGGTCTATTAAGCTTAGTTTCCAATTTGTTAGCAAATGGGTTAATTGCTTCTTGCTCCATTTACAGTGATCCAGAGCTCATTTATCTCACTGATGGTGCCAGCAAGGGTGTGATGCAGATATTAAATACTATCATCAGTGGCCAAGACGATGGGGTAATATAATTTTTTTTTCTTTTTATTACTTCAGTTTTCTATATTCACAGTGCCATTTGAAAGAATTGCCCAACACTTCTTGTTGCCAGATTTTGGTTCCAGTCCCACAATACCCACTCTACTCAGCAACAATCTCTCTGCTTGGTGGAACCCTTGTTCCATACTACCTTGAAGAGACAGCAAATTGGGGTCTTGATGTTAATGAACTTCGTCAATCAGTTGCACAGGCTCGCTATAAAGGAATAACTGTATGGTTTTATCTTTACAATGTTATGTTTCCACTCTATTTCTAGATTAAACTTACAAAATTATATGCTTAAATGTTATGTATGGCATGATGCATGAATCTATTGAAACTATTTGTTATTGATACTTGTCTTCTTGTTTCTTCTAAGTTGACTACCAGAAATAACATGGCCGGTTGCTTCATGCAATATAAAAGGGATAAAGAAACAAATAGCATATGGTTGATTGATGAACATTGAACAATCTTCTCACATGAAATTTTAAAATATCTTGGCTGTTTCTTGAAAAGCTTTTTCTACCAGTGAAGAAATCATCTATTCATGAATTATTTTTGTTATGCTAAAATTTGAATAGCAAAACTTAGTATCCTTCTTATATGCTCTTTGCATTTGTCAAACTCTCTTCATATCTGTTCATTTAATGCTTTATTTGAATGGAGCAACAAAAATTCTTAGAAATTGAATTTTGATTAGGTTAAAGCAATGGTGATCATAAATCCTGGAAACCCTACTGGTCAATGCGTTAGTGAAGCTAATCTTGTAGAGATTTTGCGCTTCTGTTATGAAGAAAATTTAGTCTTGCTTGGAGATGAGGTTTACCAGCAGAATATATATCAAGATGAACGACCCTTCATTAGTTCTAAAAAGGTATGCTTCTGCTGCAGCTCTGCTAAACTGATATTTTGCCTCAGTTGTTAACATGAACTAATAATGTATACTTTTCTATGCGAGAAGGTTTTGATGGACTTGGGACCACCTATAAGCAAAGAAGTCCAGCTTATTTCTTTTCACTCCGTGTCAAAAGGTTATTATGGTGAATGTGGACAGCGGGGTGGATATTTTGAAATGACCAACATTCCTCCACAGGTTTGCCTTTTCATATCTCGTGTTACTGAGTTTTCCTTTTGTTTCAAGCTGGTTTTTCTGGCATCATTGCGGTATGGAAATTGTCTGGATGTAGGTACATATAAGGTGTTCAAAGTTCCAACAAATTGTCAGCTCTTAAATTTTTTCTGTAGTTATGCTGCCAATGCTTTTCTTTGATTCTGATTTTCTTTTGCAGACGGTTGAGGAGATCTACAAGGTTGCATCTATATCACTCAGTCCAAATGTTCCAGCACAAATATTTGTGAGTCGGATCTGGATGTTTTTCTGTCAGATATTTTAATTTAAACTTTCGACTTAATATACTTGTTCAAATTATTTTAGTGAGTACTGTTCTCTTTCCCCAGGCATTTCTTCATCATTCTCATTTTTTACCTTGTTCTACAGATGGGAATTATGATGAATCCACCTCAACCTGGAGATATTTCTTACGACCAATATGTTAGGGAGAGGTAATCATGCTAACACTATGTATAATTTACAATTACCATACCTTCCCAAATGTCTGAAACCATCAGTAAAGATGGGTCATAATGTAGAATTGACAATTACCTATAACTTGCAGCAAAGGAATACTTGAATCACTGAGAAGAAGAGCAAGAATAATGACTGATGGATTCAACAGTTGCAGAAATGTGGTTTGTAATTTCACTGAAGGTATAAAGTATAAACAACAGTATCCCAACACAATTTGATATGTTCTCATGTTTCAATTTCATTCTTTGATCATCTCGAGCCTCAGTAAAACATTATTGATTCCTCGAGTATTATTCAGGTGCCATGTATTCATTCCCTCAAATACGCTTGCCCCCAAGAGCTTTAGAGGCCGCTAAACAGGCTGGAAAGGTTCCAGATGTTTTCTACTGCCTCAACCTTTTGGAATCCACTGGCATATCCACTGTTCCTGGTTCAGGATTTGGACAGAAAGAAGGGTAAATACTTATCCCTTACTTAGAAACTTTATCCCTTTTTCTTTGCCTTTCTTTAGAGTGTTAGAGTGATCCTCATGCCTACTCCTATGGTTGTCATACAAAGAGAATGTGCTTTAACTAGGCCATATAAAAGTTATTTTTAGCATTTGATAATATATTTCTAAAGTATACCTTCAGGAGCTACAACATAGATGATGTAGAAACTAAATATTCCACTGCTTTTCTTTTACTACTTTCTAATGATTCTTTGTGTCAAACTTTTGCTTATAGGGTCTTCCACTTGAGGACAACTATTTTACCAGCTGAGGAAGACATGCCTGCTATTATGGATAGTTTCAAAAAGTTCAATGATGAATTCATGGAGCAATACGAAGACAATAGAGGTTATTCAAGGCTGTAAGAACATCATCGTAAAAGTTGCATTATACTCTTGCACTTATGGAAGCACTTCAATCCATCCATACTGTTTATCCTTAATTGGATATAATTCTAAAACCTTACATTCTCTTCTATATAATCTCTGAACTGACAATCTTTTAGGTGTATATTTAATCTCTCTTGAACCTTTGTTATCTTGTGGCATGGCAAACAATCGTCTTAAATGTGATGGTTCTCTCTCTGTCATGTTTTTTAAATGTCCTAAGGTTCAACGTAGATATAGGTGTTACAAGATGCCCCTAGTGATGTGAATCTAGTACATTGTTATTCAGAAGAGGACGAATCTCTTTTGAAATCGAAACTCCAGAATACTCCATCTTCTTAAAAAAGGAAACTTATAATGTGAAGCACAGCCTTCAAAGTTAATAATGATTTTTTTTTCAAATGTTTAAAGATTCTCAGACAGTGGATGTAGTGTAGTTATCATCTACTTGTAGAATATTGATGCTGACACAATTGAGAGTCAGGACGTATAGAAGTAACAAATTTGTTTATCTTTCATTGACGTAGCAAAATTGATACTTGATTTGATAGCTTCATCTATATTTATCCCTTTCTCTTATTTTTCACTATATTTATTTAATATTATTTTCGGGATTCCCTTTCGACCATGGTTTATGCCTTTGGTAAATGTTATAAAGATAGAAAGTGGAAATGTAAGAAAATGATAGTTTTGGAATAGTGTGAATTTTATTACTCTATTCACTGTATGCAGTTAAAACTTTTCATAGAATGGATAATATATATATATATATATATATATA